TCAAAACAAATTTTAGAAAACACAAAAATAATTTGTACACGAAATGGAAAACAGTCAAAACGCCGTTTTGGCCGTTTTTAGGCCAAAACACGCAAAAATCACAAAACACGGGAAACAGCTCATTTCCTGTTCTTCCACTGTGCGTGAGAGAAAACCCCCGCATTCTTCCTCAACAATCGACCACCACCAGCCACCTANTGATTCTTTATGCGAGTGTTTGTTTATTTTATGATGACACTTACAGAATCTCAGTTTACCTTTTTACTTTTCCCTTTTCGTTGGTGGAGTCGCAGGCCAATGTTCAATGTCAGAGAACTGGTTACCTTACTGATAAATTGACTTTGGGGAAGTAGATAAGAACAAGTGTAGGTTCAACTACTTTTTGATGTAGGCCCCATCATTCCTTCCAAATCTAAGGAGTGAAGTCTTATGCTTGACGGGCGTTTAATTTCCTGTGGACTAAAATTTAACATATTTTAAACATTCTCATGAGGTGTTACCTGTTATGTGGTCCATAATCCCTCCTCGACTTCTATTGGTAGCAAGATTGTTTGTAGAAATTATGGTGACATTATTTGTAGTCTCGCACGCGATTACTGTGAATTTGCTCCTTGTCTGAAATTCTTACTCTATATTCTGAAGTATCCATAAGTGATGGCATAATTAATAATACGACCTTATAAGAAGGAAATAATTAACTGTGAGAGATCCTTTTCTTTTTAGCACTTTTTTGTCTTGCTGCATGTTTATGAACCTTAACTGAATCTTTATGCATCTGTTATGAAAGTTCAAACCAGTCATATATTTCATCGAGTTGTTCCACGGTTCAATTTTTAACCATAGAACATATGACTTGCAACTTTACCGACATAAGTTTGGATGGAAACCGTTTGAATGGCGATCCTTTCAATTCTTTTCAGGCGTTGAGTGCTAGTCGAATTCTCATCTAATTTTTTGTATTCAAAATTGACACGCCACTTTACAATTTGAGATTGTTGCGATGCAAAATTTCTACTTATGAATAGTTAGATTGGATGCAATATTGCTAATTGCAGGGCCATGAGTTCCAACTTTTTAGTCAAGTTCTTGTGTACTGACGTAGGAAGCTCATAAACGAAATTCACGATAAGTAATTTATGGAAATTGAGAAGAGTTTGAGAGAGAATGATGAGAAATTAGAGAGTAGCAGTTTGTATTCAACAAAGAATTAACCCTCTATAAACAATCGTAAGCTAAGTAGGAAATTTATCAAAAACCTAATCTAAATAGAAAACTAACTAAGAAAATAATAATAATCCAACACAAACTAGAACTAAAGAAATTCTAATTAGTTTAAATCCTTTTTCACCTCGAATACACTTTTAGTGTTGCATCACCTACATGATGTGATATCATCCATTACTGTTCTTGACGAGCTTTGGAAAGCGAAACTAGTCCTTGAAACAGCTGGTCTCCAATTCGTTGATTGACTAGTCCAATGATTCTGACCATCCTGGATTGAATATTAGTTTTCAAAAATTAATATCAAGATGAATTAAAGTTATAGAGAATGGGTGTTAATGCTGTGTCAGGGAGATTCACCAGCAAAATACATCGTACCTCAACCAATATAAATCAAGACAAGCATATCAACAAAATAAACAACTTATTATAGGTCTTAAAAAAAGACATCAGCATATGTCAATAACCGGGATTCTGGCTCAGGAAAAAGAATTGGTGCTGCAAAATCACGTTCAATCTATTCACTCCTGCATACCAAATATATGTGTGTGTGTGTGTGTGTTCTCATTTGGCATAGGCAACGAGCACCTACTAGAGCTGGTGCTTGGATCGGAGTACCCTTTTTTTTCCCTTAAAGCTTCTTATATATAGTGTATATATGAAGATTTTGTGGCCATAAATTTAGTTGGTCACACTCTAAACTATAATGTACATCATAAGCAATACACGTGAATGCAATATACTCAATTCAGCATGAAATAAATAGTTGTCCAGCTCAAATGGGTGGCATCAAATTCCGATGAGCTTTACTCCAAAGTCTAAAACAGTAATAAAATAGGTATAATATTCTATTTACTTTGAGTCAATTGTATGGATCTTTTTTTCAGTTATAGTGGACCATTCCTACTGATGAACTTGACTCTATGGTGTATTGTTGCGTTTTTTCTATCATTAGTGTATGATATCGTAACAAGTGATATATTGGACTTTTGAGTCCGGATTATCATTTCCACGAAAACTATACTTTATAATTTAATCAGATTTTTCTAACATATTTGATGAAAAAATATAAATAATTATATGTTGTGAATTTTTGGTTTAAAAACTTGAAATTAGTTAAAAAGCACACAAAGATTGATTGAGAATTCAAATAATGGATGGATATTAAGGCCGAACAATTTTATCTATTGATCACCTTTAAGTCTTAATTCAAGATTCAAGAGTCTAATATAGTATTCGATCGAATTCTTTTATTGTATTTAATTTACTCATCTCGAGTTCTCATGGAGTCTATTTAACTAAATAAATCTCATATTTTTGTGCG